GTAGTAGTAGTAGTAGTAGTAGTAGTAGTAGAAGTAGTAGTAGTAGTAGTAGTAGTAGTAGTAGTAGTAGTAGTAGTAGAAGTAGTAGAAGTTGTAGTAGTAGTAGTAGTAGTAGAAGTAGTAGAAGTTGTAGTAGTAGTAGTAGTAGTAGTGGTAGTTACCTTTTATAAAGTCGACATTATTGCAACTTTTATTTTGAAAAGTAGAATAGCTGAAGCTGATTGGTTCATTTGGACATGACGTGTACAGGAAATGTCCAGTGGAATCACAACACTACACCAGAAGTCGCTGTATTCTTCCTCGTATCGCTCAGTTTCCGCTGTTTAACGTCACTTTTCCAATGGCAGCGGGTTAAACCTTCCTCTGTCAAGCGGCATTTGTATAAATCTTCAACATCTAACGAGCAGCGACATGAAAACAGGAGGCTGCTCGCTGGAGGAGCTAACAGGAAGCGGCCGGGAGCTAGCGAGCGGCTGTTCGGCTGCGGAGTGAGTGAAACTGAGAACGACGTGTACGTGGAAAGCTTTGTGAATGTGGTTTATCAATGCGCAGTCTGCCTGCTGCACTCCAGCTTCTGTTTCACGTTAAAATGAAGAATTCAGCGTCAACACACGTCCTGGTACCTGCTGCAGGAGTCCTGGTAGCCCAGAGTCCTGGTAGCCCAGAGTCTTGGTAGCCCAGAGTCCTGGTACCTGCTGCAGGAGTCCTGGTAGCCCAGAGTCTTGGTAGCCCAGAGTCTTGGTAGCCCAGAGTCTTGGTAGCCCAGAGTCTTGGTAGCCCAGAGTCTTGGTAGCCCATACTGGAGTCCTGGTAGCCCAGAGTCCTGGTACCTGCTGCAGGAGTCCTGGTAGCCCAGAGTCCTGGTAGCCCACACAGGAGTCCTGGTAGCACAGAGTCCTGGTAGCCCACACAGGAGTCTTGTTAGCAAAGAGCCCTGGTAGCCTACACAGGAGTCCTGGTAGCCCATACAGGAGTCTTGTTAAATACGTCATGTTAACCCATACATAAGTTGTATTAATGTCATACATAGGTCATGTTAGCCCGTACAGGAGGCCTGAAGTGCAATATGAGAAGCCTCAATTGTGTTTATATGTATTTTTGTGTCTTTCAGATGACAAGAGGACGAGCCCAATAGCAATGAAGCAGCTGGAAACGTGTCCTGTGCAATTAGCCAACAGCATGTGACACAGAAACTCTGCTCAACCCCCAAAATCAGTTGGTGTCAATCAAAATGCCTCGTCTGGACGAGTTGGCCAACGTGGTCCTCAGGGTGCCGAGCATTCTGCTGCTGGACCTGCTGTACAAATGTGACATTGAAGGTTTGACAGAGCATCTCAGGGCCAAAAATGAAGACATGCTCTTCAAGTACAAATATGTCATCTGGAACATGTACTACCTGGGTACGTATTCATATGAGCTCATCAGATAACATAGATTGGAAATGAGGTAAATTAAAATACTCTCTTCGGGAATAACAAAGTAAACAGCAATTTAAGAACAAATTAAAATACAAGTTATATACAGTATTATTAATGAGTCTGTTTAAAGTGCAGTCATGAGGTTTGCGATCCACATTTCTTGTTCTTCAGGCTCCGAGTTCCAGAACATTCAATTTGAAACTAGAATGTCTCTCAGTAGTTTAGTGCAAACCTCCGCTAACCGCCCCCCTCAATTTTATGTATAGTCGACCAAAAGCTCATGAATCTTGTTGTCTTTTTAAATAGATCATCTGCGCTTTCTACGTCTTTCTTCCATCAGCAGCAGAATTTTCGATTAAAAAAAACAACACATACATTTTTGTTTCATCAGTCCATAGACATTTGTTCCAGAGCTCTGCTGGTTTCTTTGTGTAGCCAGTGGATTCTCCTTTTTGATGTTTACAAAGGGTTAACACTCTGTGGTGCCTCCTCTCAGGTTACGGTCGTGAAGTCTGCATCCTAGAGAGCATTCTTGATTCGCTTTGCAGTCATTAAGACGTTTGCTTCACCGTGCAAATGAATTAGTCTGGTGAGCTAACCCACATTCAAAGAGCTGGCAACCTCAGAAAATAGTCTGGGTTTCACTGGAGAGATTTTTTTCTTACCTATGGTGTTTGATAGCCTGTCTGCAGTCTTTAAATTGTAATGACATGTTCAGATGTTGTGTTCAGAACTGCAAAATACAGCAGATTTGGTGACAAGGATTTGATGTGAATCCAGCTTGGTTGCATCACAGAAAAAACGAATGTTCTCCTCTATCCTCCAGGTCACATGATTAACGTGGTGGTGTTGGTTCTGCCTTTGAGACACATTGTGACGCTCTACCTCCACATCCTCGCTGCCCTCCTCCTCTACATGGGGCATCAGATTTCCAAGTGAGATATCCTGCGACTATTACTACAGCTGCTACGCTTCATGGATTTATTGAACCAGGATCATTTTACTGTCTGTCCTTCACTGTCTTAATAATTTGTCCAGTGATGTGAGAACAATGTGTAAGAATAATTCATCTTTGATATTATGACAGCAGACTGAACCTGTTCTTATTTATTTAAAACTTATGAGTCAGTTAACTCAAGAAAAAATGATTTAATGAAGTTTTTCTTTTATACATTTCTCCCTCAGTATGGAACTGAAGGCAGATTATATTTTCCTCTCAAATGTTTATGCATCTGTTTTCAGTGGTTCCTCCTTTTTCTCTGTAACTCCAAAAAGCACACACACATTAGTTAAATGCAGTGTTGGATCACACCTCAGGCAGTTGTTGCATTGTTGTGTGTTAATACAAAAAACATACAATGTGCATTTACTTAAAATCGTGATTATTTTGTTTGTTGAACAGGGACTATGTTCGTGAAGAGCTCCACTATGGTTTTGAAGGAGCAGTGTACCTTGATTCTCTGGCCTTCAACAGATTTGTCTCTGCAATGACGAGTGAGTCCTAAAACCAGACTTATATCAAAGTACATCACATTCAGACTGTTTTAGTTTGCTGTTTTTATTATTACACATCTTCACAATAAACATTTAGTCCTTCCACACACAGTCTCAGATCCACAGAGCTCAAAAATATCATCTGCAGTTGTGATCCCACCACCTGGCTCATGTTGTTCCGCTGAGCTCCACGATTGCAGTGAATTCATTTTGTCTGCTCAGGTCAGATTATTCTCTGCACGCTGTGTGCCTTCCTGATGAAGACAAGGAAGGTGTGGCTGTTCTCAGCCCACATGCTCCCCCTGCTGGCCAGACTCTGCGCTGCTCCTCACGCCACGCTGCTAACTGTCAACACGTTCGCCATGGGACTAACCGGGTCTGGGATCGCCATGTTCCTCCTCTCTCATCTGTTCGTGCCATACCGCCTCGCAAGGGCCGTCTATTCAGAGCTGCTTCAGGTGGAGGTATGTTGCATTCTGAAACCTGATGTGTGTTTTGTAGATGATTAAACTAAAGGAGGGTTTGATTTATTGTGTTGCTTGTATATTTTCACTGTGGTAGTGAAGCAATCCTGAGGTTTATTTATTCATTTATCAACACATTAACTTATTTAAACACATCACCTTCCCTCTAACTGCACTTTTCAGTAATATAATAAATTATGTGGATGGATTTTACATTTTGTAACTTTACAAATGTCAATAAATTACATTTAAATTCCATGTATTTTGTTTTCTATTAGTTTCGTGTGTATTACTACTGTGTGCCCACACCTCTCTTACTTCTGGTTGTCAGTGATGGTGTTTGTTTGTCCTGTATTTACTCTTCTCCTCACACCTCTGCCTTCCTGTCTCTCAGGTGATTGAACTGTACAGACTCCTGGCCGTGGGAATCTCTCTGTGGAACCAGTTTGCCGTCCCAGTCCTCTTCAGCGTCTTCTGGTTTGTTCTGTTCATCGTTCAGCTCTGCTCCGACACCATTTCAGGCAACGCGGCCTCAGCAGCCAATCAGGGGGTCTTGTTCTTCCTGCTCACAAGGTTTGTTGTGATGATGTGAACTGTACACTGCATATTAAACCTCTGTGAATGTTGTGTTAAAGAGCTGATGTGTTTGCAGTGTGTCTGAATGTTGTGCCACGCCGTACTCTCTCGTGGGTCTGACCTTCGTGGTGTCATATCTGGCTCTCGGGCTGCTCAACCTATGCAAGTTGTACCTGGGAGGTTACACAGCAGTTCAGAATGAGAACGTCATGCACAGGTCAGATGTTTATACTTTTACACTTTCACCAGTTCACTTCTTCAGGTCCATGTTCTCACTTTAGATCCGACTCTGGAGGTGAATTATTTCGTATTTTGCAAAAACATGTGAAATGAAAAGCAGGGGCCATGCATACCTTCACACTTGTTCTGTGTATATTTGTTCATCCTTTATAAACACTATATATACTAATGTGTTTCTCTGTCTCTTTCTCTCTTCCTCTTTCCCACTTCCTCTTCCTCGCTCTTTCTTTCTCATACTTTCTCTTTATCTCTCTCTTTCTCTATTTGTTTCTTTCTCTCTTTCTTTCTTACTCTTACTTTCTCTTTCTCTCTTTCTATCACTTTTTCTTTCTCTCTCTTTCTATCACTTTCTCTCTCTCGCTCTTTCTTTCTCTATTTCTTTCTTTCTCTCTCTCACTCTGTCTTTCTTTCTCTCTCT